TGTTGTTTTGTTTGTTTCTTGTATATTTTAATTTTGCAATGGGAATGAAAAAGTCTAAATTGATGCAAATCAATGAGAATTTGCTTCCACAGCAGTGGAGACATGTGTTTTTGAAAAAAAACTTTGATAAGTTGGATATTTAAGGTTGTTGTGTTTCCACTTCAAATAATGGTGAAGTATCATCAGAGGCCAGAGGAAAATTCCCTCCCTGCCATATTTTAGGCTTTAAGTAATCAAACTTCAAGGGCGTGTGGACCACTGACATATATCCTTCAAGAATCAATAGTCCAAAGAGTTTATCCCTGATAAACAGGACTATCACCTGAATCCAGTAACATTTTATTTATTATTTTAGTTTATTTAAAACAGTTATATAGCTATTGGGGGGGGGGGGCGGAGAGCAATGGCTCAGTGGTTAAGACACTGGGCTTGTCGGCTGGACAGCCCGGGTTCAAGACCCGAGTGCCACATGATACCATGGGCTTGCCTCAGTTCCTGCCCACCTAGCAGTTCGAAAGCAAGCAAATGCAAATAGATAAATAGGTACCACTTCAGTGGGAAGGTAACAGTGTTCTATTTGCCTTGGCATATAGTCATGCTGGCCACACAACTATGGAAGTGCCTTGGGACAATGCTGGCTTCCTCAGCTAAGAAACAGAGATGAGCATGGCCCCCTGGAGTTGGACACAATTGGACCAGGGAAACCTTTACCTTTATAGGTATAGGTAAAATTACCCATCTTGTATGAAACCCTGGATGGCTCCAAATCAGCATCAATAAAGCAATAAAACAGCATCAATAAAAAATAGCATATTAGAGATATCTATTAAAAATATTAAAAACCTGGCACCAAAGTTAAGCTTCCAACACCCTCATTTAATCATCTCATCCACCTGACCCTATCCCAGCACCTGAGGGGAAAAAGCCAGGGCTTCAGGGCTTTTCAGAAGGCTAGGAGAGTAGAGCCTTGCCAAATGAATGTCAATGGGAAAGGGTGTTCCACAGGCCAGAGGCTGTCACAAAAAAGGCACATTTTGCATAATGAAGTTTCAACATCTCTTTAAGGAGGAATATGTTCAGTTTTTATTTTTTAAGAAAAGAAGAATAGGAGTGATAATAGGAAAAGAGATGGAGAATAGCAATGTCCACAATTATCTGCAAGCCTTCATCCTTCAGTAAGTAGAACATCCTGTTGAAAATACACATATTTGTTTTACACAAATGTATGTTTTACACATATAAATTAATATAAAGAAATATTTATAAATAGAAGTAATAAGAGAAAATCATAATTTTTACACTTCCAATACTTTGTTCTTTTGTAATTTACCTGTGAGTTAATAGCTAAATAGAGACTAAATTAATTACCTGCCCCTTGTAAATGAGTACATTTATTGCAGGTGTAAAATTATCATTTTTCTCATCAACAAACAAGCCAAATGTGAAGGTCATTTGAATCAGCAAGTCTCAGCACGTCACAGTGATGAGTCTGCTGATTAGATTTATACAAACCTGCACTTTCTATTACTTTGAACAGAAATTATTTACTGCAGCAGCAGGAAATGTAGCAGTTATGGCTTTCTCTGTTGTATTAATTGTTGGTAGAGACTTGTCACTCTGACATGCTGAGACATGCTGGTTCAAATGACCCTTATTTGTGGCTTGTTTGTTACCTAGCAAAGGCTGATCAAAGAAGTTCTGGTAAACCAATGTCTATAAATATCGATACTTAACGTAGATAAAGAGAAATATTATATATTCTGTTTCAAAGAGAACAAGATAAAAGGTAAAAAGGCAAAAAAGAAAAAAAATAAGACAAAGATACAATCAGTAAGTAGGCAGAAAAGTTACTGACTTACATTGTGGATGAGGAATTAACCATAAAAAACAGAAAACATTAAATTACTTTTAACAAAAGGGGAAAGGGTTTTAAAGTCTTTTTTAAATCTCTTGACCTGAATGTCAAATATCTCCACTATGCTGTTTTTTAAAGATAAATCACCTAACAGGAAAAAACAGAAGAAACAACTATTAAAAACATTTAATACTAAATATTAAGGCTCTAACTTCTATTTTATTGTACTCTGATATACATATTTATAAACATTTGATATGTATTTTTGACTTCAGTTCTTTAATGAATTCTTTTTCCTTTTAAAAACATAATCTAAATATTTGAATTTGCCTCTGCGTACTTCAGTTGGTTTTACCATTGTTGCATATTCACCAATTTTAAGTTCCCAATCAGATAACATTGGTAACATACCTTTTTCTAATATTCTGCTAATTTTATCCCTTATCCAATATATATCTTAGTAATTTTTGTTAGTAGTTCATTCTCCTGGAATTATTGAAATGTGATTTCAATTCAAATTTGGTTTCTAAAACTCTCTCAGTTGTGCTCTGTATTTCTTTCCAGTACTTTTGGATTTTTTTTTTACATGTCTACTGCATATAGCATAATGCTTTTTTCTGTATTATGGCATTACCAACATTTATTACGTTTGATTTATCTTGAGGATTGTTGACAGAATTGTATACCATCTACAAGGAATTTCTATTTACAACTCTTTGCTTTTTACAACTTTTTTTGATGTGGCCATTTTTTTGGGAAGCAATTTTATTACTAGGAACAAATAGTTAAAAAGGTCAATGATTGCTGTTTCTTTTCAAACTTTTCTTACTGGTTTCATAGCCACAATATCTGGACATAAGCATGTAGTTACCGAAATTACATCTGACTCAGTGAAGCCTTTACAATTTTGTTACACTGGCAATACTTTTATCTGATAAGATTAACCATAGGTACAGTACAGTTTAATTCCTAGAATTTATGGGAGATATCCAACTTGTTTTCTTGGCAAAATGGGAAGATTGCCTTTTAAGGTGCTTTTTCCCAATTTGCCGGTCTAGTTAACAGTTGTGTTATTCCTAGTTTATCTTCCACTTATTATTATTATTTGTGAAATTTATTTGTTTCCTATCTCACCATGAGACTATTCTAGGTGACTTACAACAATAAAAAGGAAAAAGTGATAAGAGTGTAAGCAGAAGTAACAAAATAAGTAACCCCCATACCTTTTACTTTAAACTGTCTATTGTGGACCTTTCATGTTTCTTAAGAGGTCCCTAAGGGGGCGTGCATAAGCACACCAGTGTGCCTACGGGCCCTGTCCTACTGTTCCCATTTATATGTACTCATTTTATGTGTTTATGGCTATGTTTTGCTTATTTATATCCTTTTATTTGTGCCAAAAAATTTTCATGTGTCCATGTTTATGTCCATACTGTTACTTGTTTCCTTGTACTTGTTGACAAATAAGTAAACAAGTAAGTAAATAAGTAAGTAAGTAAATAAAATAGAACAATAAAATAAACAAAAAAACAGTGAAAAAGAACATGAGAATATATCAATATGATAACAAAAAGATGGAAAGCAGAGAAAGAGGTATGGAAGTGGAGTCTGGCATTTGTGTAGCAGCCACCTCCAGAGTGAAACGCCCCCCCCATCTGGTCCCCAGGCCAACCAGCAGAGCCAAATCTTCAGGCTCTTGCAGAAAGATAAGAGGGAGGGGGCAGATCTTACCTTAGAAGGTAAGATTTCCAAAGGGCGGGCAGTGCAGCAGAAAAGACTCTTCTGGATTCTGATAGCCAGAGTTCTTTTAATGCAGGGAGGCAGGGAATTTGCTTTGGAGAAGGAATCCGGAAGCCATTAGGGAAACATCAGGTACAGAAGGAAAAGTCTAAAGAAGTAGGAGAATGTGGCAAAAGGCTCATATTAGCCCCCCTCCCCCCCATAGACTCCCTGGGGTATAGGAAAAGGACACAGGAAGGAAAGGAAAGACACAGGCAGAAAACTTGCAAGATTCTGTTACTGTTTCTGGGTTTTTTTTCCTTAAGAAAAAAAGACGGTATACATACATATATACATACATTTAAAGTGATAACTAATTAAACAAAACCCATTCCAACATACTGTGCAAGCTGATAGTCAAGTAAATTCTGCATTTGGCCAGTCTGTTGCTGATAAGTAGCCTACTCCAATTCTACTTCTTTAATACGGTGGTAAGAATGCAGTCTTGCAAGCTAACTTTACCCACAGCCAGGAGTTCGAGCCTGACCGGCTTAAGGTTGACTCAGCCTTCCATCCTTCCAAGGTGGGTAAAATGAGGACCATGATGGTTGGGGGCAATATGCTGACATTGTAAATCACCCTGAGAGTGCTCTTAAAGCACTGTTGGATGATATTTAAATCTAAGTGCTATTGTTAAAACGGAGTCATTGGAGATGACCAAGCTGAGCCTGAGGGAGGGGTCAAACACATTATCAGTCTCGAGTCCCTTTGCGCCTGCATATAAACCTATATTCATTGGAACTGCCTGGATTTCTGATTTTCTGCGCTTGACAGGAATTGAACTATACACCCTTTCAAATAAAAGATACTACCACAAATAAAAACTTTTATTTAATTCTTGGTTCTTATGATTATGTTTTCACTAGCTATTGCTGATATATTTTCAATAATGTTTTTGCAGTTAGGAAAAGTTATTTTTAAAAGTGTAGCTGATAATATTAATTTAGATGTTTTTATCCAGTAAATGACTTGCCTATATATTTCTTTATTATTATAACATTACAATAATATGAATTTTCCAGTTTAAGCTATCTTAATATAAATCAAGAAAGCATAAACTATAGCTGCATGCAAATATTTGAAGCACATTCACAAAATACTGAACGTTTCCTGCAGTACCTGTTCCCTGTGAACAAGAAAAAATGGGAAGCAATCACTTCTTTCAGATGTAGGGTTTCAGTGAGAGAAAAGGAAGAGCAGGATGTCTTTATTTGAACAGTGATGGAAAATATTTCTCTCCCACAGTATGGATTAAAATGCCTCCTTCCTGGAAGAATTTGAGATCCAGAGATCCTGAGAAGTTGATTATTCAAACCCTAAAGTATGAATAGAATGTAGGGAAGGAAGTTGTGGTTGGTGAGTCAGCATGAGTAATTTATTTCAGTGAGCAGGAAGGCTGAGTTGTGTGTTTTTTTCTCTCTCTTAATCATTTCAAGAATTATATTTTTTAAAAGAAGGGAAATAAATGATATTTTGCAGTACTTTTATTTGCAGTATTTTTAATAAAATGCTGCCATTTCAGATCATAATCTTTATCTCTATAGATATATTTTTCAAGAACATAGAAAGAAGAGGATAGCTGTCACTGGTAAGTATGATTCTTTTCTTTTTTTGCAAACTGTTTAGCATAGAGAGAATTCTTAGAATTTAGTCGCTCTGTCTTGTTAGCAGAAGTTTAGTTCAGTGTAATATGCTTTTATATATTCATGCAGTATGGTGTTCTATTGCATATCAACAATTTGATAATTTAATTTATTATTCCATTTTTAAGCTGATCTGTTTCGGCTTTAAGATCTTACTTAGCTGTGAACAGGGTTGCAAATAAGTTTGGTGAGCTGAACACAAAACAGATGGTGCAGAAATGCTTCTCTCCTGTTATGAAAATCTGAATTCAGAATATAGTTTTTGTATATACATTTTAATATAAATTGGGCTTTACTTTTATATGTCTCTGATTATACAAGAACATTTTTTTTAGTCATGTCCTATCAAAGATACAATACAACACAACCCTTTCATTATATATAAGAGAATGGCATCTGTGATCCTGACATCTTATTCATATAAAACTCAACATGCTTCATTATTAATTTAATTCAATAGGAATGTTACATGAGTATGTTATATTGAATGTATTCAGCTAAAGAAGTACTGTAATGACGGAATCTAATCTCATATAGAAGCTTTATAGAGCATCCAATCAGATCAAATAGATACTTCCTGGTTGTGCAGAACATATCTTGTAATACAGTAGTTCACACAGCTAATTTTATCCTTGTCTTGAAATTCCGAGAGGTGGTTGGTTAAATAAAAACGTTTACAAAACTGTATTTTTGGTTTGTGTTTGACACCTTGGCTTTGAGTAAGATGCTGAAACTGAAAATATTTTATGCAGTTTGTCTGGAGAACCAGGTGTAGCACCAAGATTTGTGGTCATCTTCTCTACTGTAAAGTCTAAATCTTATCAGAAATATGATTAAGTGGACATCTTTGTATATCCAGTTTTGCAAATAATTGTCTAAATGTGTGTGTCTGTGGAGATTCTCAGTCATTCAGGTCATGGTTGTCCCAACCATTGACCTTTTTCAAAAGGCAACTGGACTTTGTTTTTCCTTGAGGATGGTTCGCTTCTCATCCAAGAAGCCAAGAAGAGTCAGCATTGAAAAAGTTTCTTGAATGAGAAATAAAACATCTTAGAGGAAAAACAAAGTCCAGTTGCCTTTTGAAAAAGGACCTTTGGGTCTAAATATTTGTGTTTCACCTACTCAAGGAAAAGTATTTTATATGAAGTGCTTTTCTGAGAAGTGGTGGGCCTGAATTACAGACCTTGAATCCACATCTTTGCTAATTCACTTTTATGAACAGTTAAGGGCTCGAGTGCCTTTGAATACAGAGTTACTTTAGGATTTGTAATTGGTATTAGTTACAAATGGGCAAACACTTCCACATAAGATCTGCTCCTAATTTTCTCCAAACTATTTTTTCTTGTTAGTCTGGTTTAGGAGGGGAACAGTGGGTTGTTTTTTTTTAACTGTTGTTCTTCACAGAAACTCTTATTGATCTTCTGCATATCACCCAGAGATCCCTAACTAGCTTCTACCTTCAGAACAGAAATAGCAGAGTTGGAAAAGACCTCGGAAGTACATTTCAGACAAATAGTCCAATCTCTTAAAAATTTCCAGTATTGGAGCATTCACAACTTCTGGAGGCAAGTCGTTCCACTGATTAATTGTTCTAACTGTCAGGAAATTTCTCCTCCACTTCCCTGGGATATAGGGCAGTGTGCTTTGTATGTATTTCCAACACGCTTCCTTTTGGTTTCTAAGTGGAATCACCCTAAATGCTGATGGAAATACATTGACTAGCTAGAATTGTTAGCTCACAAGGAAAAGTGTGTTCACATTTCCTCTCTCTTCTGTGGTGCCACTGCTTATAGTTAAATTCAGAGACTAAACCATTTCTATCTTGGTTCATAATAGCTGTGCAAAAAGCCAGGTCATCTAGATTGCAGCACATGGTGTGCTTTGCAGGGGCTCAGTTGATAAGCAGAGGAGTAGCTGACTTGCAAACCAGTAATTCAGAAGTGGTTGTAGTTTGACTGCAAAAATAGGAAGGGTGTAGAAGCTACAGTGGCAAAATAGATGAGCTGAAAGTTGCCAGTTAGCAAATGATTACACATCATTTTGATTTTCTGAGTGTGTGGGGGTTAGTGGTATTTTTTGTTGTTTGATTCGTTTTTAATACAGGTGTGCTTTTTAACTCATGTGGTTGTAGATTATAGTAAATGAAACTAGATTCACAAGATTTTTGTATGTCAGGTGGGAGGGGGATGTCATGTGGCTATCTGTAAATTCCTGATGACCTAATAAAATGTATTGCTGTTGCCTACACATCCTCATTCTGGTATGTTGCCTTTCAGGCTAAAATGAGTAAGTAGAACATGTTCTTTAAAATCACCTCATTTATCAGCACCTTATTATTGCTGATAGGAATGAAAATATGAGTAGGAAGGAGATATGTCTTCCTACTCTTCCCCCCCCCCAGTTTGGTTTTTTTTTAAAAAATAGTGCAATATAAAAATTACTTCTGCATATTGTTCTGCATATAATATAAAGTTACGTTGCAGTCCTTCAAAGAAAAGGCCACAAACTTTAAAAATGGATTGATTCATATCAAAGAATTATACATCGGGTACTTTAAATTATGATTTGTATTTATAAGAAATAATTAGGGAGATTTAAATAAACCATGTCAATTTGAATAAAAAATAATGACTTTATAATTAACTATTTTGAATGCATTTATGCTCCAGATCAGAGGAATACTATAGACTAGGCTTATCTAAAAAGCCTCTTTTATTAGTGTTTATATTGGGAAATGTTTTTAAAAAACCAATGTGACCAGAAAGAGATTCAAAAAGTATTGTATGAGTATCTACAACAGAGTCCTTCAAGTTTTTGGGTTCTATAATTTCCCAGGACTTGAAATGGACGTTTAGAACCATCAATAAAAAGGCACAACTATGAATGTTTTTCCTGTGTCAGTTCAGAAAGCTGAGACTGCTCCAGGAACTGTTAATACAGTTCTACAGAGGAATTATTGAGTCTGTGATTTGTACTTCTATAGCTGTCTGGTTTGGTACAGCAATCAAACAGGACAAGTACAGATTCCAACAGACAGTTAAAACTGCAGAAAGAACAATTGCAACCAGCCTGCCTTCCCTAGAAGATCTGTATATTGAATTGAATTGCAGGTCAAAGTACAGACCTCTCATATCCTGGACATAAGCTCTTTCAGCTTCTTCCCTTGGGACAGTGCTATAGGGCATTATATACCAAAATGACTAGACACAAGGGCAGTTTTTCCTTTGTGCCATCATTCTGCTGAACACCCAATTCTCACAGAGCTGCCTAATGTACATGTACAGTATACTTACTCATATCGTATTATTTATCTTTCTTATTATCTTCTTTACTCCCCCTTTTATTGGTATTATTATTGTTGTTGTTGTTTTGCATGTACATTTAGAGCTTCTGTACCGGAGATAAATTCCTTATGTGTCTAATCACACTTGGCCAAATGAAGTATTTGAAAGAATTGAAAGTATTCAATTCAATTCAATCTTCCCACCCTCAATTCCTTTTTCTGTTACCACCTGGGGTTTGGCCATATACATGTTAGTGGACCATTTCTTTAAACCTTGCCAGCTTCTCACAAACAGGTGAAGAAAAAGTCCTTCATTAATTGGATTGGCAAATTTCTCCTATTTGATCACATCCAAGTATAAAACTTTAAAGATCTACTTTATCTGGGCAATTGACTGAATAAAACACATACACCTAAGTATTTAAGAGAAGATTTTCTTTCTTCTCTCTTGTCCTTTAATGTATCAGAGCCCAGTGCACTTTGAGTAGTCATGTATATCTTTAGGAAGTTGTTTTACGTAACCCTCTGATTGGCTAATGTGTTAGGATTTTTTAGCAGTAAAATACCATCTACAGTTTTATCAATGACACTGACTATAGAACTTTACCAAGTTCACCAGACCTTAAAGTGCAAATAACTGTTAGAGCTGAGTGAAATAGAAATATTTCAGTGAGAATGGACTTTACACTTTGAAATTGAAAAATGAGCAGTCAGAAAAGCACTCTGGGCTGATGCCACAAGATTCAAATATGTGATATGACTAATATTTTCACAACACACTGTCACTATCAAGTTTTTCTTTTGCGGGCCTATCATCAAACATTTGTCTCAAAAAAGACATAGTGTAAATAGATAACATTGTTTACCTCTGTAGCATTAAATACATCATTGTTGTATTTTATTTTATCAAATAGAATTATATTCTACCCCCACAAAATTGCCCATCCAAGAAATCTCAATTTTCTTTTGCAATCTTTCCAGACGCATGAAGATCAAACAGGGTTTTGTAATATAGTCTTGCTTTCAATTGCCAGGGTCAGATGAGACTAAGGAAGAGAAGCCAAGTTATGAATCTATGTAGAGGTATGCTTTGTATATGTGTCAGGAATCAGTGATTTTGCTGTGATCTTTTTAAACAGAGGAATAAGGCTCTGGTTTATATTTTCCTTCCCACTAAGATTTATAGTAGTAGTAGAGATGCTCTGCTGAATATTCATTAACCTCATCAACCGTTAAGATCCTTTGACAGTAAATTTATTTATTTATTTATTTATTTATTATATTTCTATACCGCCTTTCTCCCGTAGGACTCAAGGCGGTGTACAGTCAAGAAAAATATAGACACACAAACATCATAAAATTGCTAATTAAAATTATTACTTTGACACTGTACCATACAATAGATGATAGATTGACCTTCCTAGATATAAGCAATATTTTGGAGACCTACATATATATAAGCAGCAATATTTGGGAGACCCATGAACATGAACAGGAAGTTCTGATGTTTCCAACATTCCTCAGCCTATATTTATTGGAATCCAGAACAATTTTTGGAATGATCTTCCCCCAGACATATAGTTTTCCTCAATCCTACAGGTCCTTAGGTAATAGGCAAATGAATGAATTCCCCCTGGTGTGGGTGACAAGTTGAACAGAGTC